CCCCTGAGCTAATTTCTTTCTCATCTGTACGTTTTTTGTTCTGGGGTATTTGTGGGTTCGGTGTATCTTTGCTTCTTCACTGTAATAGATGTACACTTAAAATAAATGCTTCAAATTAAAAGGCTTTTAAGTTAAGGGATGCCTTTTCCATAGTCTAGTTAATTGGTGCATCTGATGATGGCTGCTATAAACCTGCGGACTCTCATTTACATCTCCGTGTAACGTACAGTGAGGGGCCAAGCTGCCTCTGTCCTTGGCTACGGGCCGGTGCATGGCCGAGCGGGAATCGTGCCAGTCTGCCTTCTGGCTCCCGGAGCCCTCTGCCCGGCGCGGGAGCACGGAAACTTCTGGGTCCCTGCCTGCTCGAGACAGCGTGGCTTTCGCCCTCGGGCTGGCGCAGGAGGCCAGGTTGGCTGGTGCAGAGAAGGGCAGGGGAGGGAAACCTCCAGCAGCTCCGAGGAGGAGGAGGGAGCATGCCAGGCTCCGGGGAAAAGAAAGGCTTTGCTCGCAGGGGGATAGGTGTGTGGAGAGGTTCCAGACAAATTTTAGCTGAGGCCAGGGTCCTGTGGGCTCATCTCTCTGTGCCAGGTGCCTCGAGAATCTCCTTTTGAGAGGACCAGGCAGCTCTGGCCTTCATCCTTGTTCTGTCTTATTTATGGGGAGGAAGGTCCTGCGCGGCGCAGGGGGGAGCTCGCCAGCTCGGGCAGGCTGGGTGCTGGGGCGGAGGTGGGACCCCTGGCACTAACCAATGCTGCTGGAAGTCTGCACTGTCCCCGTGGGTTGCTGAGGTTCTTGCTGCCCGGATTAATGCCAATTTACTAACTGCAAATAAACATCTTAAATGGAAACTATTAAAGAAATCTATTTTAAAGAAGCGAGTGGCCATGTCGTTCTTTGGCGAGGGGACTGCAAAGCCCCGACACCCCTGCCTCTGCCCCGCGGACTGTAGTGGGGGGGTGTCATGCTCTCCCCAGGGGTAAGGGTTTCCGTGAGGTCTGTTGTGCCCCCCATCTTCACTCCCCTGCCCTGCCTCACCCCACTGCTCGGGTTCCCTGCAGCTGAGAGTGGGGGTGAAGTGTTTTGGTGGGAGGGGGTGAGGAAGAGGCTCTTTTCCCAAACCCCATCTGAACCCTGGAGCAAACCAGGGAGAGGAGAGG